GCTAGGGCCAGTTCTACGTTTTTGATGGTCCACTGGACAAATATAACTGCATGTTCCACTCCAAATTTAACACAACCACAGCCAAATCTTTTTTCACCCTGCTCCTAAATCAGTAACTCCTGGGTTCCCCCTTCCTTTCAGTGGAGCTGCCATTCCCTTGGTTCATTTCACTTCTCTCTTCCCTTGTAGTTCATCATCATATATTACTATCTTCCTTTAACACAGTAATGTCATGTCCTGATGACAGGATTATGAGTTTGGGGTGAAAAACCTTGGGAATGTTAATTAACTGAGATCTCTATGCCCCACTTTCCTCATTTGTAACATAATGTTAAAAATACATATCAGATTGTTTTGAATGATCCAGTGCATACAAGAACCCAACAGCATATAAATTCTCACTATATGTTGTTGTCTTCCCTCCCTTCCATTTCCATGCCAGAATTATAGTGGTGTCCCTCACAGTATCTCATCTAAATGACTGTATTCATTTCTAAACTCTGCTTTTAATCTTTTTCCCCCCAAACACTTCCAAAAACATTATTTGGTTCACAATATGATCTTACCAAAAAGTCTTTAATGACTGTCTAATTTTAAAGCAAAAGTATCTAAAGTTGGGTGGATACTTCTTACTAAACTATAAACTCTTTCAGAAAGCCAAGGACTTTGTGTATTCATACTATCTTTCACTGAAGCACATTGCGTGCACCCAGGGCTCAGTGAGCATTTCTTCCAAAAATGACTAAAATGAAGCTCTTATCTGGAAGTTTGTTTCAAAATATGAGAATTTATTTTCAATATGCTGAATTCCTCAAGGACACTTAATTTCAGTTCTGACTTCTACTAGATCTTTCTTAAATCACTTCAAATATTTGTTAGCAATTGCTTGACTGTTTTAGGTGTGGAAGCAATGATTGATGGCTTCATCCGCCAGTATGTTTTTCTGTTCTTTGAAGAGATAAACATCTTTTTAAAATTCTTTTATTGTTGTTCAATTATAGTTGTCCCCCTTTTTCCCACATTACTCTCTCCTGTCCTGCCTACCACTCCCCAACATTCAATTCCCACCCCCTCCACTGCCCCATTGTCCTTGTCCATGGGTCTTTTATACATGTTTCTTGACTTGACCCTTCCTTTTCTTTCCCCCATTATCCCCCTCTCCCCTCCCCTCTGTTCACTGTCAGTTTGTTCTTCATTTCCATGTCTCTGATTCTATTTTGCTCACTTATTTGTTTTGTTGATTAGGTTCCACTTATCAGTGAGATCATATGGTATTTGCCTTTTACCACCTGGCTTATTTCACTTATCATAATGCTTTCCACTTCCATCCATGCTATTATGAAGGGTAGGAGCTCCTCCTTTCTCTCCGCTGCATTGTTTTCCATTGTGTAAATGTAACACAGTTTTTTGATCCACTCATTTACTGATGGACACTTAGGCTGTTTCCAGCACTTGGCTATTATAAATTGTGCTGCTATGAACATTGGGGTGCATAGGTTCTTTTGAATTGGTATTTTGGGGTTCTTAGGGTATAATCCCAGCAGTGGAATTGCCAGGTCAAAAGGCTGTTCCATTTTTAGTTTCCTGAGGAAATTCCATACTGTTTTCCACAGTAGCTGCACCAGTCTGCATTCCCACCAACAGTGTACTAGAGTTCCCTTTTCTCCACAGCCTCACCAACACCTGTTGTTTGTTGATCTGTTTATGATGGTCATTATGATGGGTGTGAAGAGGTATGAAGAAATAAACATCTTGAATGAGTTGCATACTAGCATCAGAGTCACCACCCATGTTCACTGGAAGGTGTGTTGTTAATAATCAGGCTCCAGATTTGTTATTTATTAGCTTAGGAGTTAAAAGTAATATGGAATGTTTGTTTAAAAAGACTCAAATATGTATCAGGTGCACACTACTGCATTTACCCTAACACAGTCGTTCTCAAACTTCTATATGTATATGAATCACCATAGACCTGTACTGTCCAATACAGTAGCCACTATTCATGTGGCAATGGATCACTCGAAAGTTAAAATGAGATGTGCTATGAGTGTTAAACACATACAAGATTTTAAGGACTGAGCCCTGGTTGGTGTGGCTCAGTGGACTGAATGCTGGCCTGCGAACCAAAGGGTCACTGGTTCAATTCCCAGTCTAGGGCACATGCCTGGGTTGCGTGCCAGGTCCCCAGTTGGGGGCACATGAGAGATGACCACACATTGATGTTTCTCTCTCTCTTTCTCCATCCCTTCCTGTCTCTAAAAATAAATAAAATGTTTGGAAAAAAATTTAAGGACTGAGTACAAGAAATGAATGTAAAGTATCTCGACAACATAAATGATCATATGTTGAAGTGAAAATATTTGGTTATACTGAGTAAAATAAAATGTATTAGAATTAATTTCATCTGATTTTTTAAAATTTTTTTTAAAAATGTGGCTACTGGCATGTTTAAAAATATATAAGCAACTCACATTTATGATTCATGTTATGTTCCTGTTGAACAGCGTTGTCTAGATGCTTGTTTAAAATGTTTCCTGAGTCCCAGTTTTTGAGATTTTACTTTAGTAGTTCGAGGTTAGGACCCAGAAATCAGTAATTTTTACCTCTCCAAGTATTCAAGTGCTAAATCTCCATAAGGAGTCATTGTTTTATGTTACTTTGACAAGATGATTTTAATGGTGTTCAGCACAGCAAACAGGATTCAAAGATAACAGAGAACAATTGTTCTTCAATTGTTCTTCAATTGTGTAATAATTGCCATACCATAATAGTCATAGATGTTTTTCACTGGGCGAAACACACTTTCAAATATAATCACAATACAACCATTTGGTGGTAGAAGGTGGCAAAAATTAAGCAAAATCTATCACAAGTTTAAGCACATATAACCTTTAACTCACTTCTAGAAACTGATCTTGCAGATCTTCTCACAAGCTCACTATGATGTATCTATAATTCACTTTGGCACTGTTATAGTAGAAAATTGGAAAATGGTGAAATAAATTATGATACATCTAATTGAATGCTTTGCAGGCTATAAACAAGAATAATCATGTATATGCACTGATACGGAAAGATGCCTATTACATTTATGAAGGAACAAAGCAAGTTGCAGAAATGTATGGTGATCCTATGTACATGTGAAAAAATGTGAACGTACATTTGTACAGATTACAAATTTTATTTATAATTTTTTGACATACAATGGTGCAAAAGTGTTAGTAATCCAGTAGAAACTGTACTTTAAATTTTGAATTTTGATCTTTTCCCTGGCTAGCACTTATGTGGTAGGATACTCCCTCCTGATGCTGGCCAGGGGCAGAAAGCGACAGCTCCCAGTCAGGCACACTATCATAAGGGTAAACAACCAAAACTCAGTCTACATTGTATTCATTGTATTAAATGACTTTACACAACTGTAGTCTAATGTAAGTGTTCTGAGCACATTTAAGGTAGGCAAAGCTAAGCTATGATGTTTTGGTAAGTTAGGTGTATTAACTGCATTTTCTATTAAAGATATTTTCAATTTACTGATGGGTTTATTGGGATGTAATCATAAGCCAAGGAGCATCTGTATATGCACAGAAAGTTTCAAAAACTGTTAATAGTGGTTACTGTTAATGTGGAGAGAAGATTCCCAGTGATATGGAAAGAAACTTTTACTTTGCTTTTTATATCCATCTGTATTTAGTTATTTTGAGCAATATGCAAATTTACATTGTATATTACAAAACAATATCTAAAACCTACCTAATGCCAAGCCAAGTAAATTTCATATCACATTGGTTCCTGTTACAGAAACTTGCTTTTCACTATTATTTTTTATTCATTTTCATTTTCTAAAAGGCCATTATATTCATTCATTCACTGATTCATTCACTCGACATTTTGCCAAATGCTCTTCTACAGAAAAACAAAGTACGGTGCACAAAACCATGTGTTGCTTAGACAAAACCAACTTAAATAGAATCAGTAATAAGCACTATGAAGACTTGCATTTTCAAATGCTGACATGTTCAAATGTCATGTGTGCTTGTGTGCGCATATACATATATTTACTTGCACATACTAATTAATAGATCCGTTACTACAGAATTTTTTGAGTGTCGTTTGGATAAAGTATTCTGCGATAGTTCTCAAATTAACCTTTCTCCTGAATTCATTATTAATGAACTTAATACAAAGAAATCAAAAATTGCAAAGCTTTTTAGTCGTATGAATTTAGGCAAATTACTTAGCTGCTTCAGGCCTCAGTTCTCCTCGGCCAAAAGGAATATTCACCTCTCAAGTTTGCTGTCTCAGGGAGACTTCTATGTGCTGAATATACAGTGTACCGGCAGTGCCTTGCACAAGGACCCCTGGCGGTTCGGTGGGTGCTATAGGGCCTCGTCCTGGGCCGCATACCCCGCGACGGGCCGGCTCTCCGCAGGCGCGGTATTGTCTTTTGTGGACCGTAGAAGACACGCGGCCCTTTCACATACTTTCTTCCCGCGAGCATTTCTACCCGCCAATTTCTGTTTCCAGGCCTGCAGCGGCCGGTGGGCGTCAACTCACTTCAGACGCCAGCCAACCCAATTTCTCGTATGGATCATAAACTGAGGCTGCAAAGCTCAAGTCCACTCCGGATCCCGAGCCGTCCAGTAGGTCCTGGGCAGACTTGGCTCGCCGCAAGCAGCAGCCTTGCCTCCAACTGAGCCTGTTCGTTTGAATTCTGGCGCCACTCCCGCGCCACGTAGAGCCAGACTCAGAAGGGACGACAGGCAGCGTGCCAGGGGGCGCGCGCTGGGGAGTAGACGGGCGCGCGTCGGGCGGGCGGCGCGTGCACCACGCCCCGGAAAGAGCCCCCGAAAGAAAAGAGCCGCGGAGCGCGCTCCCGCTCTATTGCCTCAGGAAAGAGCCACGCCCCCCATCTTCTCTCTCGCCCAATAGATGTGAGAGGGAGGGGCGGCCTCGCTCTGACACGGCAGAGGCTATATAGGGAACTGCTGGCCTCACAGCACGGTCTTTTGCGTCGGGACTTGGAGTCTGTTCCTTCGTGCTTGGTGAGTAGGTGTCGCCGACAATGCGAGCGAACAACTGTTGAGCGGGCTTAAATTTTAGGCTGCCGTAGTGAAGAAGTTTACGGATTTGAGTGAGTTTAGAGTGTTGTATATTGAGAGATCGCATGTTGGAAAAACGCAACCGAACCGCCACGTGTCCCTGAGTCGTGGCAGCCGACTTCAAGTTTAGGCTTGAGGAGGCTGCTGCTGATGGCCACCCGCACGGCGCGCAGCCTGGTTACTAAATCCAGGCAGCCGTTTGGTTAAGGCTGAGCAGCGGCAGAAAAACCACATTCCCAGAATTTGGGGCGAGGAGTTAGTTCTACGTTAAGAACAAGAGGCCTTTAGTGCTAAGACAAGTGTCTTCCATCTCCAGATGAAACGGTTATTTCAAAATGGATAGCCCCTGATTTTGCTGGAGACTAATGGTTGTATTGTGGCCAGGTGGCGCTGTGTGCAAATCGGATTAATGAAAGAAGGGGTTTTTTTAGTACTGAAAACCTTGAACTCTATTCCTGTTAGAATGATTAGTTTTAAATTTATTGATGCCCCGCAGGAACAATGGCCTTCGGTGTAACGTACCTGTTACGTGAAGATGCTAAGGTAAGTGCTGTTGAGAGTTTAATGTTTAGTTTTTAAACTGAAGAAATAAACCTGTTGATTTACAGGAATAAAAGATGGTGAATCGTTTGGAATTTGCTTCTTTTTATTAGATGCAAAAGAAAATACCAAAACATGGGAGAATATTTGCTGAAAAATTACCTGGCTAACTAATATTCTTACCAGGTATGTGTTGGGCTAGTATTTTGATTTCAGCATATGTTTAATCCATATGTAGATTAAATGGAAAATTTTTTTTTTCCTTGAACAGCATCCTGAGGATTGGTGAATACTAATGAAGCTATCAGTGTCAGCTTCATTTTGAAGTAAGTTGTATGGATTACAAAATCTGCTATAGTATTTCTAATACAATACTTACCTTTTAATGCTGCCTTAGTTTGTGGTCTGATCAATGATGAAACTTATCCCGAAGCTGATTACCTGAAGAAAAGCATATTACGGATTCGGCTTCTGAGATGAGACCGATATGCAAAAATGAAATAAATTTTTGTTGCCTGCAGAGGGAAAACTGTCTCACAATAGCGTTTTTTTTTTCTTCTCTGCCAACAGTGAGGGGTCGCTGTCTGCCAGTTGAAAAGGGCCAGTTTGCTGTGCCGTTTTTAAGCTGTAACCGTTTCTGTGAGTGGAGATACTTTGCTTAACAGCTAATATTGTGTCCTTGGTCTTATCTGTGATGATCCTATCCCGAACCTGAATTTCTGTTGAAAAAAACTTAATACGGATCTGGCTTCTGAGATAGACCGTTATAAGGACTATAGCATTTTTTAAATATAGCATTTTAAAATAAATTTTAAATAAGTTCTGATGGTTCGTAGTTATGTAAATCTGAAATGTTTTCTTTTTTCAGGGCCAGTCTTAACAAAATTGACTTGCATGTTCTATGGAAAACTGGTGATCAAGAAAAGCTCTTCATTTTATGGACATGGAAAGAAAACATACAGATCAAGATGGAGTATTTATTTTTAATTTTGCAAATAGATTCTGAGCCACATCAAATCTCGGTTAATATATCCATAAGATTCAATTCATTTCTATTTAGTCGTGTTACACTGCCCTAGAGAGAGTCACACCCTGTTAACTCATAGGTTATATCCTAGATCTGTTCCTAGAAATGCATGTCAAATTAAGTATTTGTAGTGAAATTTTTTTCAGTTAAGTAGCCTTGTAATCAAATAGTTCTGGATAAGTGTCTTAACTTTGATCACCTGTTTAAATTTAAATTGCATAATTATAATTAAAGCAGAGTGAAAGTTTATGCTGTTTAATGGAGATGAAAACAATGTGAAAAGACAGGACCTATTAATGGGGTGGGGGAGTACCAGGCATCAAAGTGATCACTCTGATTAACTGACTCAGAATATTTAGTCTTAATGTAATAGCAATTTGAAAGGATGTCTAAGCTAAAAAAAATGAGAGTAATGATGAAAATGAAGAGAGCACAGCATAGTAGTTAAGGGTCACAAAGAAGGTCACTGAAAAAAATCTGGGTTAGAACTAGTCCAATATTGCATGAAATGGATTTTTGTAAATAGTAGTAGCATCTGATCTAACCAAGGTGATTAGGTGGCCACTCATGATCATTTTTCCTAAGTAGCTGCATGAATAAGTTGTTCCCAAGCCCATATCTAATGTCATAGTCAAAACACCAAATTTTTTCCTCAGTGAGCTGTCATCTTTTTTCCTAAAATGTTTGTTTTCTTAGCTTAGAGTTTGATTTTGGACCCATGCAGCTTAGGAGAGGTTCATGAGACTGACAAGCCTTTAACTGAGTGGCCAGACAGTGAATTTGCCTCAAGTAGTAAAACAATGTATACAGTGGATCTCTGGAAATGTTTCTTGAGCCCAAATTAAAACACAAAGCACTGATACCCTAAAGATTTAAGGGGTTAGTGGTATATCCGTACAATATTAAACCAGATACAAGAAATTCCACAGTGGCTTTGGTTTGTGGGAAATTACGGGGCCTTGAGGCTTGTTTCATGAGAAATTGTGAAATGAGAAAGATCAATGGATGTAATGTGTTACACATTGTGAGTATCTTGATATTACCAAAAGAAATAAGAAAAACAGACCTTAGAGGTAAACCTGAAGTACACTTTCAGGTAGAGATTCAAGGAGATAGTGCAAATAGAATGCAGCAATTGACAATCTTAGCTGTTACAGCTCCTACATTTCCTCTTGATGCTATAAGAGCAACAAACAAGTAGCATTGTGTTGGTAAACCTTATTAGTTTCTTTTGTTATATCTATATAGATATCGGTAAACAGTGTTTAACCTTGCAATCTACATCCTTGAAAAATTTTTTAAACTGATTTCAAGAGACCGGTTTGTTGTTTCACTTATACATTCAATGGTTGTTTCTTGTGTCTGCAGTACCAGCAATTGAACCTGCAGCCTTGTTGTATTGGGACTCCACTAACCAACTGAGCTATCAGGCTAGGGCTGCAACCTGCATCTTTGAATCCCCCTTGTCCAGCTCCATTTGAAAATGTTTACCATGCCTTCTAAGATCTGTTTTGTTAACTGATTTAAATGCCTAGGCACCTTAACTGCCTGGTACTTGGTTGTATTGTAAGTTTTAAGTGAACAAGGAATAGTAAAAGACTAATTGGGATCCTGCACAAAATTCAGGCAAAACTATATAACTTTTGTCAGAGCTGGCAAACATAACTTAAAAGGAGGCAAAGTTGTGAAATAAAATGATCCCTCTGAGCTTTTCCTGAAGTTATGGTTTTGCTCCTTTCCCTCCCAGTCATTCTTTTAATGTCACATTTCCTTAGTTGATATAATCCAAATCAAATTGGTAATGTACATTTACTTTATTGCACTGTACAAGGTTCTGCCCAAAAAAATCAGATGTAAAATACTTCCTCTATCTTCTATACATTGGTAGTATAAAATACCAAGGAGAGTCAAAAGTGGGCTATAGAGACACAGAGTACTGTGGGAGACAGGAATAATTAAAATGTCTCTGAATAGTGAACCAAGTGAATTTGTTCACTTGGGGCAACTCTAATGTGAGGAAGACAGATATAGGCATAAGACACTGAAGATGGTGTGCTCTAGAACCCAAGAGGCAAGCAGGGAGAGTAAGGCTGAAATGTTAGAAAAGTACCTCACTAATGCTTTGGGCAAGGAGTTAGAACTGTAAAGAGCTAATCATTTGAATTCCCTAAAATGTGTTTTCTGTGGAAGGCGTAGTCAGTCATGTTTAGCTCTATTGACTACAGGGTCCACACCTGGACAAGGAATGAGTTGGGTGCAAAAAGGTACAATTTTAGTGGAAATTAAACTTCAAAGTTCATATAGCAGCTTTAATTAAACTTACTAGTTGATTTAAACCCTTTAGTAGACATCGGGATGGGATTTTTCACTTCACACAGTGGAGTTCTTGCTGTTAGTAGTTACAGCTTCCTGGTGTATGAATGCTGGGTAATGAAAGACAAGTACTAGCTAAGACCAAGGACCTTAAGTTAGCTGGGTTGGGGATTTTAACCCTTCACAATGGATTTGCCTCTCAACAGAGAAATCAATGGAGACTCAAAAACCCTAGGGACCTAAAAGAATCAGATTAGGATAGATGGGTGGGCTTGGTTAGGACTGGTTTCAGAAGTGGAAGGCAGACTCTACATCTCTGGCTTTACTGACTAACCAGTAGGAATTATTTTCCCTTTACCTTGCACCATGCTTCCAGGTTATCTTAAAAGTTCAGTTGGCTCAGACCTACCATTTGGTGCTTTCTAAAATTAGTTCCATTGCCAGAAACCCAATATCCTACTGCACTTGGCTTCCCAATCAAATGCCCTCTGAACTGAGGTGCTTCTTAATCCTTGCTGTTTGCCCAGCCTGTGTAAAAGCTTTTGGCTGTTTTCATGGTGGTTATAGCAGTTTCCCACTTAGACCTTTTTTGAATCGCAGGCTATTAGCATAGTCTGCTTATCTTTCCCCAGTCGTCCTTCCATGCTTCCTATCTTTTTCCTCCTGCAGGTTTGTTTTTAAGGTCAAAGTATAGTAGTACTTAAAGCATAGTATTAGGTTGGCCAAAATGTTGGGGTTTTTTTTTTCCATAAGATGGCTTTAATAGCACTTAGTTGTCTTTAACATCATTCAAAACAATTTTGTTAGATTGTGTTGTGACAGCTGTCATATCAGCGTGCATTTAAAAAAAAAAAAAGACCAAAATTGGTGAATTTTTGTGTAGCTATTTTAATATTGAAGATGGAAGAAAATACATGTCTTGGCATATTACACTTTTTTATTTCAAGAAAGGTAAAAATGCAACTGAAGTGCAAAAAAGTAATTTGTACAGTGTATGGAAAAGGTGCTGTGGCCGATCATGTCAAAAGTGGTTTGCAAAGTTTCATGCTGGAGATTTGCTGGATGATGCTCCATCCTTGTATAGACCAGTTGAAGTTAGTAGCAATCAAACTGACACATTGAGAACAATCAACTTTACACCATGAGGGAGATAGCAGACATACTCAAAAGTATCCAAATCAATCAGGTTAATGGTGAAAAATGAAAAATGTGTCTTTTATATTACAGAAAAAACCATACAGACTTTTCAGCCAACACCCTACTTTCAATTGCCTCACTGAATATTGCCACTGCCTCTGGCCTTACTCTACCTCACTGACTGTGTTTTTGGGCATGTACAGAAAGATAAGATCAAAACACAAGTGTGCTGTGAAGTTCATGAAATTTTATGGACCATCTTGGTTCCAATATGAGAACCAGACTCCGTGGCCTCATCAAGTCCTGCCCTCCCTCCACCCCCTATCACTTGTCCACTATTAAGGGCCTGGCATGCCATGTGGCTGAGTTAGAAGAGAAAAAAAGGATCTAATGTCACAGAATCCCAAATGGACTACAGTACAATTCAACTTATTTAGAAACTATGCTTACTTGATTCTAGTTCTCTTCTAGAGTATTAATGGAAAGAGTGTTCCAGAAATTTGAAGAAAGTAACACAAATGCTGTACACGATTTTACTGAAGTTAGGAAATGATGTGCCCTTGCCTCTCCTAACCATTGAATATAATTGATAATACAACAAATCATACATTTTTTCAAAAAATTTTTTGAAGACTTCATTTTTAGAGAGGGGGGAGGGGAAAAGGGAGGCAAACACTAATGTATGAGAGATACATCAATTGCCTCTCATAAACCCCGAAATGGGGACCTGGCCCACAATCCAGGCACGTGCCCTGACTGGGAATGGAACCAGCGACCTTTAGTTCACAGGCCAGGGCTCAATTCACTGACCCACACCAGCCAGGGCATAAGTTGCATATTTTTAAATGTACACTTCGGTGAGTTTCTTCATAGACATGCACTCATTAAAGTGCATGCACCACAATCAAGATAATGACTGTCCATCTCTGTCAAAAGTGTTCTCTTGTAGAGGGTTGATTTTGAACATGGTAAGTTTTTAGTTTTTATTTTCACGCAAGGATACATTTATTGATTTTTGAGAGAAAGGGAGAGAGCAACATTGATTGGTTGCCTCAGATACGCACTCCGACTGGGGATTGAACCAACAGCCTAGTTATGTGCCCTGACCAGATATGGAACCCACAGCCTTTTGGTGCATAGGTTGTTACTCCAACCGAGTCACATGGCCAGGAATGAACGTGTTAAGTTTTAGATGGTAAAATCCCAAATGAGATTGAGTTAAATATACAAATCTGGAGGTTTTTTTGAGGGGGAGGGGCGGGGTGTAAACTGGCAAAATAAAATTGGGAGTCATCAGCATGTGAATGGTATATTTAAAACCATAATATTAGATGAGATCACCAAGGGAGTGAATATAAATAGAGAGGAGAAGTGGTCCAAGAGCTGAGTCCTGGAACATTCCAAGAGTAGAACATTCCAGGTTTAGTTCAAATCCTGGAGGTAGTTTTGTGCCAAGGGACAGAAACTGGGAAGCAGAAATCTTGTCAAATCCAACTGCCATATCCAGAACAGAAACTACACAGCAAATCAAGGAGTTCTGGAATGAAAAGCAAGAGTGAGAACTAAGAAAGTTGTTTGGGTGATGGGGCTGAAGATTGCCTTGGGTTTAATACAGAGTATTGTTAATAACTGAAGACAGCTTTGTAAAGGATCAGGAAAAGGGGTCTTCAGGACAGAATGAGCTAGGGAATTCAGGAAGTGTCATAAGAGTTATCAGACACTGGGCTTAGAGAAGTGGTGTTAACTACAGGCAAGTTACAGGTTTGCCTTGCAGTGCTAAACTGCTGAGGCTGAAAACTACCAGTTATGCCCTGGCTGGTGTGGCTCATTTGGCTGGAGCATCGTCCTATAACAAAGGTTAAGGGTTCGATTCCCCATCAGGGCACATACCTAGGTTGCAGGTTCAGTCCCGGCCAGGGCACAAATGATGTCTCTCCCTCTCTCTCACTCCCTTCCCCTCTAAAATCAATAAGCATGTTCTCAGATGAGAATAAAAACATCAAAAAATATAGGCTGCTTAAGGTCTGTATCAGTGGAAAGCATGATTTCATCATTCTCTGTACTTAGCACATTAAAATACACACATACACCATATTTCACCATGTATAAGGCACACATCTTTGCACAAATATTTGAGGGAAAAATAAGGATGCACTTTATATTTGGGTAGTACTGGTTCTGTATATAAATATTTCTAATTTTTTTATGCTTATGCATTAAAAATATAACTAGAAAGTAATAATATCCATATGCAAAATAATGTGCTGGAGTATGATAATTGATTTTGTTTCTAAATATAAAATAAATAATTGAATTGAAAAACTAAAATGAAAGATTTTTTTACCTTCAAGTTTGGGCCAAAAACGTGGGTGCACATTATATACAAGAAGACACGGAGTGTGTGTGTGTTCCCTTAGCTGGTGTGGCTCAGTGGATTGAGTGGCAGCCTGTGAACTGAAAGGTCGCTGGTTTGATTCCCAGTCAGGGTACATGCCTGGGTTGCAAGCCAGGTCTCCAGTAGGAGAGATTGATATTTCTCTCGCACATCTTCCTCTCTCCCTCTCTTCCCCTCTCTCTAAAAATAAATAAAAATTTAAAAACCTTTTAAAAAATAAATTAAAAATATTTTTAAATCTAAAATAAATAAATAAAAGTATATTTTTCAGTTTGAGTCCTTTAAGAACAGTGACAAAGTAAGGATGTAATCTAAGGAAGAATACAAGGGCTCTGGAAAATGTGTCATTCTGAACAATATTTTAAGGACTTAGTAATATTTAACCTGAAGAAATAAATATCAAAGGAAGACATGATGACTATTTTTAGGTATTTAGAAGTATATCATGTGAGGTAATAGTAGTAATACTATGTGGTATTATTGTAGTAGTAGTATTGTGGTATTATTATGGTAATATTGTTATTCCCATTTTCTAGATGAGGAAACTGCAACTTAGAAAAATAACCTAATGAAGGTCACTTAGGAAAGTGGGCAAATTGGAATTTTAAATCTGGCAGTCTTAATTCAAGAAATGGTGTCTTTATCCCACTAAATACCTTCCCCAGAGGAGTAGTTTAGTGTATCTCCAGAAGGCACAAAAGAGATCAATGAAATAAAAAGAGGCAAACTGCAACTCAACCTAAAAATAAACTTCCCAGTTAGAATATACCACATCCATATCATGGTCTCCTGTCAATATTAGTTGGAAGAAAGAGGCTGGCCCTAGTCAACTACAAAGACCCTTCCAAGTCTAAAACCAGATTCTTGACTTGCCCAAAATAAACCAGCTAATTAATTACTAAAATGACAACCAACATCTTCTACCCCTCTCTCAAACCAGTGCTCAATCCACTGATAGTGTGGTGCCCAATTCTTTTTTCCAGTGAAAATTTAAATTTTCTGAGAATTCATTAATCTGTAGGAATGGGTAAAATCACATTAAATTGTACTGGCTCATTGCTCATCTGTTGCCACAGGGCCTCTAGCTCCTACATAATTCTTTTGGAGAGGTTCTGGGGTCTCCATTAGAGTATCTCACATGTATTCACAAACAGGTCTTATATAAAGTCCTTCCTGATACTCTGCCTATTACTGTGGTTGCTCCTTCAGGCATCTCCACACATACAGTACTTCCCTCCTTCTGGTGCTATGTCTCATAAAGCAGAAATCTGTGGAGCACTATTTGTACCTCCTGTCTCACTAGTTCCTCAGAAAACAAGCCCTTTAGCCTTTTTTTATACATATTTTTCCATGGCTCTGAGACCTGGTCTCTGGGATCAGACTTCTGTTCAGTACTTTCCTATTTTTCTCATCTGCCCCATCTCTGGTCTCATCTTAGCAGGCCCTCACCCTTCATTCTACAGACCTGGAAGGCTCAGTCCCAATGAACCTGAAAATCAGATTAGGCCTAACCATGCTATGTCGACAGTAGCCCAGGATCCATATTTGCTGCATCGATCTTTTATTGATGATATGGCCTCCAGTTACTTAAAATATGGATTTTAGTGGTAATAAAAACACAAGCCAAATAGCTTTAATCAGCTTTTTTTATACAAAAGTACAGTTTGGGGCTTTTGCTAATAGTTGATAAATTACATTTGTGGGAACATGGGCTTTAAGCACACTAAAGTCTGGGTCAATAGCAAGGTGTATTCTTTGGGGTACATCTCGATACTCATTTTTTATTTTCATCACTGATGGAAACTCTCAGCTTATACATTTCTTTTTCAAAAATGAATGCGCAGACTTTGCTCTGAGACTGACCACAGGGATGTCAGGACAGTTTTGAAATTCATGGTCTTTTCTCCACATATCTGGATATAGCTTAGTTTATTGATGTATGTTTCTTGATGCATGTTTGCTTTAAACTCAATCTTTTCTTTTGGAGACTGAGCCACACTGATTAGGTGTATGATAACTCACAAATATCTTAAGCTTTCATTTGTTCATTGAATAAATAGGTACTTAATAGCTACCTTGTGAAGGTACTGTCCTAAGCACTAAAGATTTGGCAGTGAACCAAATGACCAAAATCCCTGCCCTTGTGGAGCTTACATTTTAGAAGAAAGGAGCTACATAATAAATAAAGTATATGAAAAAATGAGATGTGATATGAAAATTAATAGAAGCCTTGGTTGGGTGGCTCAATTGGTTGGAGCATCATTCTGTGCAGGTATGTGCACCTGGTTCTATCAGGGCACATACCTGTGTTGTGTATTCTATCCCTGGTTGGGGCGTGTATGGGAGACAACCAAGCAATGTTTCCCTCTCGCTCTCTCTCCACCCCCTCCTCTTTCTCCTGCCCCTCAAATCAATAAAAACATATCCTTAGGTGAGGATTTAAAGAAAATAGAACATGGGACATTGGTCATGGGTTTGAGGGAGTAAGTAGCTCTGTGATTTTAACTGGAGTAGACAGGATAGGTTTTCATGAGGAGATGAGATAGGCAAAGACTTACAGAAGGTGAGGTGGTGAGGGACTGAGCTATGCAACTATCAGGGAAAAGGGCATTCCCATGAAGCATCCCAAAGACAGAAGCATACATGGCAAGGAAAGACAAGAAACAAGGCATGCAGATAATGAAGGACCTTATTTGCCATTGAAATAATTTTACTTTGGGTAAAATGGGAGCCACTGTAAAAGAGAACACAGAAACTTGAAGTATGATTCATACATATCAAAACTTCTGAGCTCTACCCACAGGTGCCAGACTGTGGTCTCCACCATTTACCATTAAAAGGAAACCAGGTTCATTGAAGAAATAACTGATCAGAGATCCTAGGCAATAAATGTATAAGATGAGCTTGGTGCATCTTGTCATATAGCAGCAAGCAAGAAAGCTATCAAAGACTGCTAAGGTTGTCTTAAAAGCCAACTTACAACTTCTCCTACTTTCCAAAGGTGAAAAATTTGAC